TCACTGAATATAAACCTAACAGAGCACTCAGATCATTAAGATCGAGTCAGTTAGAAATACCAAGGGTTCACACAAAACAAGGGGAGTCCGCTTTTAGCTATTATGCCGCCCGCAGTTGGAATCAGCTTCCAGAAGAGATCAGATCTGCTAAAACATTAGCCACATTTAAATCTAGACTCAAAACTCATCTGTTTAGCTGTGCATTTACTGAATGAGCACTGTGCGATGTCTGAACTGATTGCACTGTATTTTATGTATAATAATTTTCTATTTTTAACCGTTTTAAATTTATTGTAAATAATTTTTTTAATCATTTTAAAAGTTTTTAAATTCCGTGTTTTATTATTGCGATTTATTTTTTTATGATTATTTTACTTAATTTTATGTAAAGCACTTTGAATTACCAGTGTGTATGAAATGTGCTATATAAAAAAACTTGCCTTGCCTTTCTTTTGCATTATCGTTAAAACATTCAAATCTTATGTTTCATTCTCAAGTCTTTTGTTATTTTTCATGTTGTGTGCTTTACCTCTGGACAGGATGCAACATGAAAATATTTTCCTAGTTATGATCAGCTCTAAAATAAAGACTCTTTTTTCAAACTTCATACTTGCCAACTCTGGGTCACTGTGACATTTCTGCCCCTGTAATCATAATTTGTGTGTAAAGAAATCAAAACTGTTGGGGTTTCAGCTGGAAACTGCATCGAATTGTTTGTTTTGGGAGTTTTGCAAAAATGTAGTCTAGGTCAATATTTTCCAAGTATAATATTTGCCTTGATCCTTGATTGAGAGATTTGAGAAATGGCTTCGTCTATAAAAATAATTATATATAGAAATACATGTAAGCGGATATTACACTATTTTATAATTTGCTTACATTTTTTGTAGAAAAGCAAACATGCCATGTCAGAGATGATGTGCCTGTAAAAAATAAATGCAGAATTTAAAGACATACTACAATGATGATGCCACAGTGCATTTGCACAGGTCCCTGGCTGCCAATAAAATTTAATTCACATTTATTTGTATAGTGCTTTTCACAATACATCTTGTTTCAAAGCAGCTTTACAGAAAATGTTTCTACATTACAATTAAGAGTAATCAGTTATCAGAGGTATGTCAGTCAAAGTAAGGTCCATATGGCAGAAAGATACAGTTCTAAGATTATTCAAATTATGCACTAAAACACTAGTACAGATATTAAAGTAGGTTGTTTTTGTTTGTTTAAAGTAACATCATAATGTTTCTTACCTTACATCATACGTTTTTGGAATCTGCAAAAACACAAGGGCATAAATTACTCAATTCTTTCATAAATTCACAGAGATTGAAATCAGATTTAATAAAAATTTGACCTAATGAATGTCCAAACAATGATCTTTGGACATGTAGCAGTGAATTGGCTTAATGATTATATTAATAAAAAGAGAAAAAAAATTACCCTTTGAACTGCAGAGTCATTAAATTCATACCACTGTTGGTCATCAAATGACTTGATATCTGCATAGTAGTGTCCACCACTGAGGGAACCAGTGTGATTGACTAAAGCATACAGGTCATAGATGTGATCCTGAAAGAGCCATACATAATCAATATATGAACAAATATATAAAAACAATATTTGTATATTGGCACCCAGAGGTCTCACTGATAAAATGCCTATATACTCTATAGTTGATTTAGTTGATTATGAATGCAGTTACCCACTTGTGAATAAACAAAGAAATAGAGTGAATTCCCAGTGGCTATGTGTTATAAATAAAGTATCAGAATCAAAAGAAAAGAAATGTAGCTTTAAAAATGTGACATCACAGACTTTAAAGGACAAAGCAGTCAAACCTGCACTTTTAACTGAAGAGGAATTTCAACAGGACAGTTATTCTTCATGTAAGTCATGTAGCAGTAATCCAAGTAAAACCTCTGCAAATGTAGAGTCAGGATGTCTGGCAGTTCAGAAATGGTGCAACTCTGAAAGAAATACCGACTAGCTTAGAATAAAATCAGCAAACTCTACATACATTTTCAAAAGACTTTAATGTAGAGCTGAGAAAAGAAATTCACATAAAATGTGAAGCTCACCATTTCCATGTCCATCATTGTTTTGCAGGTTTCACAGAACAGCTGATCCTCTCCATCCATGAGCATTACTTCAAACTGTGCATCAAAACTCTCTGTCTAAAACATATGGTTTTAAGAATAAGAAATCATGGCAAACAAAACTGACTTGTGGGGAAAAACGTGACTCTGGATTTCTATTGAACTTATAATAATTAGTACAAATTAACAAGTGAACTTGTATATGTGTGTAGTGAGGTCCCTTGTAAGACCGTAAGTTCATATAAAAAAGTGATATGGCCCCTTTAAGAGCGTTTTCTCAGTAGGCAGAAGTGTGCACGCTAGTAAATTTCCATGTGCTTTATAAGCCGGAAAGGAGCGGTGGTTTGTAAGGGCTATAAACTTTATTTCCTGATGAGACTTAGGTTTCCCGTTTGAATAAGGCTGTTTTCCCCACACTTGTATGCAGGTGCGGGGTATTAAGTATGAGCTTGATTAGATCTTCCTGTCGATTGTGGGGCTGGTGGATGCATGGTTGGTGACCATTGAAAATGGTGCTGTGGTGCTTAAAAGCTTTGGATTTGCCATTTAGTTGTCACTGCTGTCTTTCTTCCCCCAGTTGTTTTTTGTTTTGTTTCTTTTTTTGAGATATGTAATCTTCTCCGTGTTTAAGTTCTGTATCTAACTTGTCTCAGATGTTTCTTCTTCATCTTTGACTACAAATTACCAATGTCTAACGTCTAGTACTCTAGAGCTATGTTTGATGAGAAATGTTTCACCTCATATTGGGATAACGGATATTTGGTATGTCTGTACATCTGAGCCCAGTCTGAGACATTATTGGGTTCTCTTTTGAAACTTTGTTCCCTTTCGCTTCGAGAGACCAATCTACTTCGAGTGTAAACTAAACGAGCCAATGGACATTGGCATGCGATGATTGCATCCAGCTGCCACTGACCACAGCGTGAGCATAAAAAGGCAGCCAATGCAATGCATACCAGCTTTTCACTTCGGAACCGAACGATAACATCGTTCTGCTCCTGCCAATATCTTCGTGTGTGACGACGATTTCAGCATGCTGTAGGGAGCTTTTTATGTTGGCGGACGGCGCTTCAGCAGCAGTGGTTCCTGTGTCGAGTGGGTTGCGCACTTCAGGCTGCACTACCCCGTCGTGCTGCAAATGGCCGTTTTCCCTGTGCATCTCAGCACGTAAAAGAACATTTCCCTAAAAGAGCCAACTTCTCTGAAAGAGTACAATAAGTGGGTGCATCTTTGTAAAGACGACGGATAGTCGTAGATGGTTTGCAGCGATCGACCTGAAGGACGCATACTTTCATGTGTCGATCCTTCTGCGCCACAGACCATTTCTGCGGTTTGCGTTCGAGGGACGTGCATACCAGTACAAGGTCTTGCCCTCCGGGCTGTCCCTGTCTCCCCGTGTCTTCATGAAAGTCGCAGAGGGGGCTCTTGTTCCCCTCACAGTCTCGGGATCAGTTGTGTGAGCACAGGGACCTGGAGCTCCGGCACCTCAGCCAGTTGAGTCTTCAGGTCAACTGGGATCACCAGCGTCCAGACCTCTGGAAACTTCATGTCTGGTCCCTGGTTGTAGGTGACCTACACCAAGGGGTAGTTGACACCATCACTTCAGCGAGAGCACCGTCTACGAGACACGCTGATGCCTTGAAGTGGAACCTGTTCGTCGAGTGGTGTTCTTCTCACCGAGAAGACCCCCGGAAATGCCCGATCAGGGTCGTGCTTTCCTTTTTGCAGCAAGGGGTTGGAGCGAAGGCTGTCTCCCTCCACCCTTAAAGTCTATGCCGCTGCGATTGCTGCTAACCATGACCCCATGGAAGGAAGGGCGTTAGAGAAGCATGACCTGGTCATCAAGTTCCTTAGAGGGGCGAGAAGGTTAAATCCTCCCCGGCCCCCCTCCATACCCTCTTGGGACCTGTCTCTGGTGCTTAAAACACTACAGCAGGGCCCATTTGAGCCTTTGCAGTCAGTTTATCTAAAGTTTCTTTCAATGAAAACTCTGCTTTTGCTTGCACTGGCCTCCATCAAGAGGGTAGGGGACCGGCATGCATTTTCGGTCGACGATCCGTGCCTAGAGTTTGGGCCGGCTGACTCCCAGGTAATCCTGAGGCCCCAGCCCGGCTATTTGCCCAAGGTTACCACTACTCCCTTCAGGGATCAGGTGGTGAGCCTGCAAGCTCTGCCCCTGGAGGAGGCAGACCCAGCTCTAGCTTTGCTTTGTCCTGTCCAAGCCTTGAGATGCTACGTAGACCGGACACAAAGCTTTAGGACCTCAGACCAGCTCTTTGTCTGTTACGGAGGCCGGCAGAAGGGGAAGACCGTCTCTAAGCAGAGGATGGCTCACTGGATTGTGGATGCCATCACCCTGGCTTATCAGGCACAGGGTGTGCCCTGTCCGCTCAGGTTGCAAGCTCACTCTACTAGGAGTGTTGCATCCTCCTGGGCGCGGGCTCGTGGCACCTCACTGACAGATATTTGTAGAGTTGCGGGCTGGGCGACCCCCAAAACATTCACTAGATTCTATAGCCTTCGTGTGGAGCTGGTTTCCTTTTGTGTTCTCACCTCAAATGAGTAGAAGCACTGAGAGGCCCCGGTTAGTGTCGGCGTGCTAAAACCACTCCAGAGAGTCTGTACTGTAGACCCTGTTGAGCTCCTCCATACCCTCGGCAGCCAGACGTGGCGGAACCTCCGGCGCCAGGCCCTCACTCGATGAATCCGTGAGAACCGGTAGAGGGATCCCATATGTGTAAAGCGCATCCCATGTGTAAAGTCCACTGTATAGCATCAGAGCCCGTGTTTCCCTGGCAGACTTCTACAATCACCTCTAATCTTCCATTTGCACCTAAAAGGATGTCATATATGTAAGTGCTTCCGAAACATCCTTCGGGAAGGATGGGGCGTCCGCTACGTTCCTGTTCCAAGTGGAACGGGTACATTTTCCCAGTGTTATTCAATCTCATTGAGTGGGTAGTGCTAGGATAACGGTGACTAGTCTTCACGTTGCGAGCCCCGGCCTACACCAAAAAGGGGCACAGGTGGCTCGTAAGGGACACTGGAAGGGGCAGCATCCATGACACTTTGGTAGGGATACCAATTCGTCTGTCACTGACGTGACTCTGAATAACCTACTGAAATTGAATGTCTCGGTTATGTATGTAACCCTTGTTCCCTGAAGGAGGGAAAGGAGACGTCATGTCCCGTCGCCACGGCTGCTGTACCACCGCTGAGCGGCCAGGTCACCGGCTCGGCTCCTCAGCGAAAACCTGGAATGCATGGCATTGGCTGCCTCTTTATGCTCACGCTGTGATCAGCGCCATTGGCTCATTTAGTTTACACTCGAACTAGACTGGTCTCTCGAAGCGAGATCCCAATTCATCGGTCACCGACGTGACATCTCTGTTCCCTCCTTCAGGGAACGAGGGTTACATACGTAACTGAGACGTTTTATATAACATAACTTTTATCAGTGTATGGCTTCAGAAGTCTTGGAAGATCTCCAGATCACAGTTTTGGGAGGACATGCAGATGATAGCATTTCCTCTAGTGAAGTCATATAATTTTGTGTAAGGCAATTTGCCAAATTATGTTGGTTTAATTTTCCTTAAAGCAAGCTGCATTTCATTGAATACTAGTGGATATTTGACCTGAAAAATTCAGCAAAATCTGCCTGTAACATAATCAGTTTTGTAAAAATGTATGTAAAACACCTTTCTCCATTGAGACCAGATTGTAAATATATGTTCGCAATCTGGTAATACGTATTTTTTTATATGCTTCTTTGGTTCAAGTTGTAAATGATTGCATTTATTAACTCATAATACTTACTACGTTAACTTTATGTTGATCAGAGTCCATAGCAATGGCCAAAGAAAAAAATGAAATGAATTCCTCAATGGGATCATGGTTCCCATGTTTACAGGAGGTTGAGTGTTTCTTCTGTCCCTGGAATATCTGTAAAATAATGCAAGATTCTGTGATAAAGGTGAATCACTTAGTTAAGCCCATAGTGTTTGACTAGTTTTAATGGTATATATGTATAGAGCCAGATTTACTAACAGCTTGACCCAGAGCAAACCCTCTTTTAGAGTTAAAAAACTACTGTATGGATTTACTAAAGACACACAGTGAAACATTAGCAATGAAAAGGCATGGATGCAGTTATTTTTGTGGCCGACCTTATTGCATGTCCATTTGTAGGAGTTTCCCTTTCAGATGCAAAAATTATGGGAGGAGAGTATTTAAATGAATCTGAATTTAAATGAAAAATGAATTTACTGGTATTTAAAGCCCCAAAAAGCATTTCTGCACCCTTTTACCCTTTGACATGCTGTGAAAGTTGCTGCTGTGTGAGGTGCCACAGAGAACAGTAAGAGATTGTCTTGGTAGTATGTGTTAGTCATTATGGAAATGAACTGTGTCTGTGTTCTTTATTTTGCACATTATCAGTAGATCAGCACAACTTTCCGCTCCCATCGGCACATTTATGGTATTATAGCGCTCTCACGCTAATTTGTCCTGTTTCATAAATCTGGCCCTTAGTGTCCTTTGAGTCTTAAAGGGGTCATATGATGCAATTTTTTGGAGTGTTACAAGCTCTTGGTGCATAAAGAAGATCTGTAAAGTTGCAAAGACTAAAGTCTCAAATCCAAAGAGATATTCTTTATAAAAGTTAAGAGTCAATCACGCCAATCATACCTTGGCTGCTTTAGGTTCAATCATACTCAGAATCTTCTGATAATATTCTGCTGCATCCTGCTGCTCACAAACTAAAATAAAAGGAAAGCTATGAAGGGATTTGTTTATACAAAAACTGTTTTTTTTACGTGTTTACCAGTATGAATGCTACAATATAAGACTTGTACACATAACTTACCATTTCCAATTTCTAGAGCATTTGTGACTCCATGTGTAGTGGCACTTTTAGTATTGGACTCTAAATCTTCGAATAACTTTTGAAGTTCAAAAGAAAGACTTTTCTTTTTCTTCTTTCTTACTTTATTTAAGCTGTAGAGCAACACAGTATTTGTGTCATTGCTATGATTGTGTGTTATAAAATATCATGATTTTGCAAGTCAAAGATAGAAAACTCACTCCATGATGACTTTTCTGAAATCCTTTGTCATGAAGAGCGTTTGCAGCACTGCATTCAGATAACATGTGGCTCCTTGATTCCTCAGTCCCCTGTAGCCTTCAAATGAAAGGATACTTTAAAATACTTTAAATTTCAGCAGTGCAACAAAGGAAAGTATTTTTTTATTAAAAAATAATATACACTCTGAAAGCTCATGATATTGACCTCACTGTTTATATCAAATATAATATTTCAAATGCATTTCACATAAAGTTCACATAAAAATATAACCACATGATTATAATTTAGGAAAAAAACACTTTACCAAATACAACAAAACAACAAATAAATTATTTAAAATTAAATAAACAAAAAAAGGATAGGCGTGCAAATAAAAGAGTAAATCTTAATATGGAGAAATTTGAATATACAAATGTATACATGTATATATCAGGGCAAAGACACAGGAGGGTAATTAGCTCCTGAGCAAACACAAAGAAAGTAGCTGTAGGCTAACTGAAAAGGTAAGACGTTAAAGAGTGGGTCAGATGGGTTTTTGAAAAATATATTTTTTGTAAAGTAGCTATCCTTCAATGTAAACAATCTGCAAAGTTGTTATTCAAAAAAAGTGCATGACAAATAAAGATATTGTCTCTCAAAAAAAGTTGACTCTGAACTGCCTTAACGAGTAGTCATATTTTTGAATCTTCTGCCTGTTACAGATCTACGTCACTCAGTAACACATTTGCATAATCCCCACCTGCCTGGGAAATACGAACACTCTGACTCTGTTTACATCATGTCGAGAAGATGCTGTGTTTTGCTCTGTGAAAGCAAGTTTGTTTTGTTTTCATTGCTGAAAGATGATGATGTGAAGAATCGGTGGTTCAAATTCATTTTTTCCACAAAAATACAATTCGAAACTTTTGTTCTTGTGCTCATCATTTTAACAAGGACTGCTTCTGTAATCTTGGCTTTTATCTTCGTTGGCTTCTGTTTGGACTAACAAGTGTCTCCGAACCACAACCTGTAAGTGCGATTGATATGTTATGTGTACATTTTCAATTGAGTGCTCAAAATATCAAGGTTTTTGTGTTAATATGTGATGTATACCTCACATATGATAAGTGCCGCTTTATGTTTCCAGGTAAACCACGATATTGCTGTCTTACTGAAATAGTTCTGATAATTTGCTGTGAACTAGGCCTGGGTATCAATTCAGATGTCCCGAATTTGATTCGATTACGATTCGCAAGCTCTCGATTCGATTCGATTCAATTCTTGATTCGATTCTCGATTTTTTGATTACATTCAGTGAATATAGTTTTAATAAAAATGCTATTGATATTTGTAAAGATGAAGATGAAGGCATAAAACATTAATTTAATTTATTCTAATCAAATGAAAATTAAACCCTTTTTATTTTTTGGCAAACAAAGTTCTGCACAACAGAGGTTTAATGTTAAAATTAAAAAAGTAGTAGTAGTAGTAGGAGCATTGCTGTTACATTGAGTCTTAAAGGGGGTCATATGATGCGATTTACATTTTTCCTTTCTCTTTGGAGTGTTACAAGCTCTTGGTGCTGTAAGGGAAACAGGTCAATTTAGCTCAAAGGGAATCATTTAAGATTTTAAAGGGAACTCCACCAATAATATGTAAGGGAATTAGGACAGAATCACTGTTTTACAGCTGATCACTGAGACGGCCAGCGATTCAGTGAGCCATGTCATGAAGACGCTATGTGTTTCGTTGTGAATGCGAAACTACTTTGTTTGGGCTTCCAAAAGAGGACGATATCTGCTTCGTTGTGCCTGGAGCTGGTCTGTGCTGGTCGCTGAGGTAATACTACAACGGATCGGCTTTCACCGTGAACAAAGCGGAGTCCAGCCCGGGGTTGTCACATGTGGTTGCCGCCCCTTCGTCGAATCCACCGGCCGCCGTGTGTGATGCTGTGTTCCCTTTCAGTCAGTCACGTTCGACGTTACGTCAGTCGTGACTGACGGATTGGGATCTCGCCCGAGAGCCCAATCACCTTCGAGTGTTAACTAAACAAGCCAATGACAGTTGGCGTGCGTGTTTCGCCATGCACACCCCGCTCCGCAGCGCGGGTATAAAAGGAGAGCGCGTGCAAACACACATCAGCTTTTCGCTTCGGAGCCGAGCCTTCTAGCAAGACTGAATCTCCACGAATGTCTACGAGACAGCCTTAGCGTTGGTGTCACGGCACGTCAGCGGGGGTTGCCTCCAGTGCTGCTTCTCTTTGGCGTGCTGCAGCTTCCCATTCCGCGGTCTCACAGCAACCTCCCCTGGGCGCTTCAGCGCGCTCTCTAAAAGAGTGTTTTCCAAAAAAAAAAAAAAAAACCTAAAAGAACAATATCTAAAAGAGCTCCATGATTGTATCTTGTGCTTGGGCTTTCAGCACGCTGAAGCAGCACTCATGGATGAGTCATGTACTCAGTGCGGGAACATGTTGCGGTCCAGATACCTCCTCATTAAACGGGGGGGTATCCCCCTTGCCATGCCCCGTTCTAGCTCCTCCGGTTCTCAGAGGGCTACTTAGGTTCATGGTCAGGGTGATCTGAGGATCACAGTGAGAGCTTCCCCCGTCGAGTGCGTCTCCGCGGGCCTCTCATTCCTCCAGCACATCGCACCACCTCGTGTTCCCGGACGAGCTTGCTGGATCCTCGGACGGCGAATGACAGGATGTTGCATCGGAGGGCAAGCTAGGCTCTGGAGATGACGATTCGGCTGTGCTGCCTCCGTCAGAAAGAGTGGCGTTGCCCGAGTCAGCTCCAGAGCTGACTGCTATGCTTTCCCGGGCCGCCGAGGGTGTCGGGCTGCACGGAAGCCTCCTCCTTCTCCCGAACGCTGAAGGCTGAACGATTGGTTCCTGGGGGCGCAGGCCGGTCGTCGGTCAGCCGCCTCCGGTTCCATTTTTCCCGGAAGTGCATGAGGAGGTCACTAAGTCTTGGAGAGCACCTTTTTCTGCCCGAAACAGGCCTGGTGCCTCCTCCGTCCTTACCACCCTCAACGGTGGGGCGGCCCAAGGGTATGTGGACATCCCCCTAGTCGAGCGCACTATTGCCAAGCAGCTCTGCCCGCAAAGTGCCGCCGCCTGGAGGGGTAATCCACGCCTTCCGTCCAGGGCCTGTAAGTTTTCGTCTGCTCTGACGGCTAAGGCTTACAGTGCTGCTGGACAGGCCACTTCCTCCCTGCATGCCATGGCCCTCCTGCAAGTCCACCAGGCCAAGGCGTTGAAGCAGTTGCACGAGGGTGGTGCTGACCCAGGTGTGTTGCAGGAACTGCGTACTGCGACGGACCTCGCACTTAGGGCGACGAAAGTCACAGCGCGGGCCCTGGGTCAGACGATGTCCACATTGGTGGTCCAGGAGCGCCACCTATGGCTGACCTTGGCGGATATGAGGGAGGCCGACAAGCATCGCTTCCTGGACTCCCCGATCTCCCAGGCCGGCCTATTCGGCGAAGCGGTGGAGGGCTTTGCCCAACAGTTCTCCGCCGCACAGAAGCAGACGGAGGCTTTTCGACACATCCTGCCTCGGCGGTCTACTGCTGTCTCCACCCCACCGCAGGCTGCAGCCCCTTTGTCTGCTCGTCGTCGAGGGCGCCCTCCTACGGCCTCCACCTCCGCTTCAGCTCGGCCACAGCAGCAGCCTTCCCAACGGCCGCAGCATGAAGCTGGCCGCAGGAAAGCGGCGCAGCCCGCCTTTGCCCCTGCCAAGCCCGTGAAGTGACAGGGCAGGCGGCGTCCCTGAGACGGGCGACCTGGAGTCCTTAGATCCTGCTCTTCAGGAGGTGGTGACCGCACCACTCCTTCCCCCAGAGGAGGGCCGGGTGGAGAATCCTTTGTTCCTGTTTTGTTCTGTTCCACCACTGGCTACCCAGCCAGTGGTACCCAAAACCTCAAAAAAAAGAGCAGTTTCCTTTTTCTCTGGGTCCCAAGAGGGCGAGGATGGCAGTGCACGAGACCCAGTCTCCACACGCCCGTCCCCCTCTCCCTTTGCCAGTGGGCAGCAGGGTCCGGTTCGAGGAGGCCATGCCTCCTCACGAGCCCCCTGCCCAGCCGTGGAGCCAGGTAAGTGGCGTACCGCGCACTCAGACCCCACTCTGGGACACACTGTCTTCAGGGTTGGGTCCCTGTGTTCCACTTCGCTGCCCCACTGTGGGTACGTAGGTGGTTTCCCTAGTCCCGCTTGTTCGGTCGCTGGGGGCCTGGCTAGCACTCCCCAGGCCGTCTCGCTGGCTTGTGAGAACCATCAGACTCGGCTATGCGATTCAATTTGCCCGGCGCCCTCCCAAGTTCAGGGGCATTCGGTTCACCTCTGTGCTGGACAGCGATGCTCCTGTCTTGCGTGCAGAGCCGGTCCCTCCAGCCGACATGAGGTCAGGGTTTTACAGCCCATACTTCACCGTACCCAAGAAAGGCGGTGGGTTATGACCAATCCTGGACCTGCGCTTGCTGAACCGGGCCCTTCACAAGCTCCCGTTCAGGATATTGATGGAGAAACGCATCTTTCAATGCGTCCGTTCTTTCGATTTGTTCGCAGCGATCGACCTCAGGGACGTGTACTTTCATGTCTCGATTCTCCCTCGACACAGGCCATTTCTCCACTTTGCGTTCGAAGGGCGAGCATATCAGTACAAGGTCCTCCCCTTCGGGCTATCCCTGTCGCCTCGTGTCTTCACCAAGGTCGTGGAGGCAGCCCTCGTTCCATTAAGGCAAGCTGGCATTCGCATTCTCAACTACCTCGACGACTGGCTCATACTGGCCCAGTCTCGAGCGCAGTTGTGCGAACACAGGGATACGGTGCTCAGTCACCTTAGCCGGTTGGGGATTCGGGTCAACTGGGAAAAGAGCAAACTCTCCCCGGTGCAGAGGATCTATTTTCTCAGCATGGAGCTGGACTCGGTCAACAGTATCTCCACCATGATAAGCACTGAATAAATGACAGGCTTCCCATTGTAACATCACGCAAGGTAAATAAAAGGGTGACATCTAGTGGAGAAGAGTAATGATAAGATCTTGTGTTAAGTGTTTGCTGAAATAAATACCGGAAAATATAGATTCACGGCTTTTGAGAATCGATATCGAATTCGAATCAATGTCATTAAAAAAAAAATTAATCACTTTTTAGAAAAAATTATTAATCACTTTTTAGTCACTTTTGGTCACTGTTTGTTGCTGCCATGTGTTTTGAGTTTGAGCTCCGTCAAGTTCATTCTTTATCGTCTATTTTTTATCTTAAAATCAATTACCGAATGCAGCTCGAGCTGGAAGCTGTGGAGAAGCAGGTCCGCAACCTGGTGGAGAGGCAGACCCATCTGAGAGAGCGAAGAGCCACGCTGGAATCATCCCAGGCTGACGCTCACAAGTCCGAGGTAAGTATACAGCCCGCTGCTAACTCTCCCACCACCTCTACTCCGTGTGTTTCTCTGCACAGGTCCGGTGCACCCAGGACGCGATCTTCCCAGATGTCCTTCACTCAGGTGCCGGGACACCACGGACCCTGGGTGCACCCGCCACGGAAGACGCGAGCCAGGCCCCGGGCGACGACCTCTCTACCTCCGGTCTTCGAGATCTCCACCCGGAACCGCTTCGCTCCCGTCCGTGAGACGGAACATGACGCTGTGATCATCGGAGACTCCATCGTCCAGCACGTCTGTGCTACGTTAGCTGAAGGTAAAGTGCACACTCACTGTTTCCCTGCTGCTCGTGTTCTCGATGTTTCTGCGCAGATACTCACGATCCTGAAGGGCGACGAGAGCCCCGGAGCGGTCGTGCTTCACGCGGGG